TCGATGGCATAGACTTGTAACGCAGAACTATGGGGAATGTTTGCCATCTTTGCCAATCGGCGTAAGATTCTCGCTGACTGACCTGACTGTTGCCCGGGGCGCGCCAGACATACACGGAATATATGAATAGTATTGTGACTATGCGACCTCTTTCATCGCCATCCCACCTTTTAATCACCCTTTTTTCTAGTTCCTTGCCACTTATTTTTGAAATTTTAAATCGTTCTCTAATTATTTTTCTTCGTTCATTGACTTACAATTATATGGACGTCGGGTCCGCGCTAAAAAGTGTCCGAACTTATAGGGCGTTAAAATCGTATACAGAGCGTCATTCACGCTTTAGTCTTCGTTTGTTCGACTGACAGCGAAGCAAGCAATATTAGACAGTACTGCGATGACATTACAATTTAAATTCAACGTTTTAGCTTTTTCATATTCCTTTACATGTCACTACGTTTAAATAGGTTGACTTGGGACATTTTTTTCGTGGTTTTTGTATTAGACCCGTCGTCCATTTATTTGTAAGTCAATGTATTCGTTATTCTTATTTTGCTTCGTTCCGTCGTCACTCCTTACAAAGTTCCCAAAGAGAAAAGATGTGACCTTCAATCATGTAAACCTAAATGTTTATAAATCAGTAATATATATCCGAATACAGGCCCTTTTGGGGTAAGTGTCTCCTTTATATTCATCTATGAGCATGTCCGTATGTAATTTAAGTTAGGGAGTGTTTCATATTATTGCACTTGTTTTTATACCATTGTTTTTGGTTACCATTTTTTCATCTCCTTTCCTTACCTTTTCTTTGTTTCTACCTCTATGGTTCTCTTCTTCATTTAATTCTCTTTATTCAGCCTTCTCTTAAATTTCGCCAAGGCTAGGTTACAGTATGTCTTACGTGGATACTCCTTTCGTGCACCCCACTATAGGTACTTCGAATATTATATTCAAAATTTTGTTACGTTGGTCAGTAAAAATGTCTTGGGTTAAAATTACCCGGTTCCTTGCAAGGCCTCGTAGGGACAACAGTTCACAATTTAGAGGATCGAATTAGCGATGGATCTATGCAGTGAAAAAACCAAATAATAAATCCCATTTCGACAGGTCGAGACCAAAACTTTGGCTTTCCATGAAATCCATATTATTCAGTTAGTACATATGTATTTTCCAGCTTACAGTTAAATCTACCAAAGTAAATGTCACTATCAAAAACACGCAGACAGTTGATGAATTAGAAAAACAGGGGTCTACCCAAAACAGAAAAATAATGGCACGTGGTCTTCGAAGCCAAAATCTATTCGTGTTGAATTACTAAATTCTGCTGTTTTCAGTTCTTCGTGCACTCTCCATTCGAAATATCGACAGCCATCTCCAACCCGACTGGAGAAATCATGCCAGGAGAAGAGCTTATTATTGATTTCAAGGTATGTTGACCTGAGATAGAATCACAGAACAATAAATACAGTAGAAGAGGTTAGTTAGCGTCTGACGCGTGCCAACCATAGGTCTCGGAAGAACTTCTTTCGTGCAAATTCTCTAAAATCCAAGACAAATGCCTTATCGTGCTGTATTAGAGTTCAAAAATGATGGCCGCACTAAAAATATTACCATTACCCGTGGTGGTATTTCATATCATCGGAAAGTCTAATTTTAATAAAATTTCAATTTTCTGTTCATCGAAATATTTTTTTTGTTAGTTACAAGAAACGAAAGTAAAGCTTTATGTCCTTTCAAAATGGTCGCTTCTTTTTTGGAGAACTAAATTAATAACTCCAATTCGTCATCGTTCAGCAATTAACTACGAGTTGGATACATTGATTGAAATTTTAATATAACATCAAAACGTAACTTGTAAAAGATATTGATGGTATTGAACTTTCAACGATATACCAACAGGGTAAAGTTTAAATTATATGAAGAATCCAGAATTGTTATTTCGTTCGACCAATCAATATCAAGATTTTGTAGTGTTTCAAATTAAGGATGTGTGTAAGGGTTTTGGCGATATCGGTTTTCATAGTAATCGCGTCTGAAGGCACTGTCATTGTTTTTTTTTCTTTCCTGTATAGAATTCAGGGTGAGGTCAGAGCGTAATTTTTTGAGTTTGTTGGACTGAAATTCTGTTGGGACGCCAGTCAAAGTTTTTGATTCAGTTGCTTTGAAGCATTTATTATTGTTATCTGTCACTCATAGGCAATAGAAATCCAAGCCGATGCCGACGTAAAGAAATTGAGACCAGACCAAAGGCGATGCAGGTATCCTGATGAGTGGCTCAGCAATTCTTTACGGGTACGAGTTTCTGTAACCTTTCTTGGAAAGAGATCCTTAGTCGCTAGTGTAAGAATGTTAATCTCTTTAAACTTATTTCTCAAAGACACTCTGGGGCCCAGATTGTGAATTGCCCTAGTCGCACGTTTCTGTAGGACAAAGATTCTATTAATATCGGCGGCATTACCCAAAGCAAAATGCCATTAAACTGTGAAAGTAACTGAAGTAAACCAATCCAACAAAGTTAGTTTAATAGAGTTTACTGTCCTAATGCAACGTCCACAAATGTGTGCATGTAGGTAAGTAATTAAATTTTATCAGTACGTAGTGGATACTAGTAGAAGCAGTAGGCGGCAACTCTGCGGAAAACAATCTAAAATCTCTCACTAGATGTAACTTACGGTGCTGAAATTCAAAAAAACCAGTAAAAAGATCTATAACAAAAACATTTAGGAGAATTTCTTCAACTCAATAAGTTGACCTGTAGCTCATTGGTATTAGAGACACGCTACGGTGCAGCATGGTCATGGTTATGGGTTACAGTTCCATTCGGTAGAAGAAAAGAAAATTCTTTATGTTCGAGCTTCGTATTAATAATCGTAACAAACCAGTGGAGTTACTTCACAAACAAAAATCAGTATTACTCAAAAAACACTTAGAAATCACATTGTAAAGCCACTTGTAGGTTTTTTGAAATCTTTGTAGCGAAATCATCTCATCAATACTAAGTATCATCATGATTTGATATTTAATTTTACGGTAAACGACGTTACTGACACTGAACAGATTAAACTCACTCGCTATAAGAAACAAAATTAGTATTATTATGATTTAGTACCAGTACCTAGACTCCTTGTGAAAAATTTGGTCCAGGGAAGTACCACATTGCCTATTTCTGCTGCCAAGCAGTAATGTCAGCATTGCTGTGTTCCGGTTTTGAAGGGTAAGCTGCTGGTGAAATTGCAGGCACATGGGACTTGTCAACTTATGTCTCAGGGTGATGGGTGCTGTGGTAGTGGCCTCTGATATCTTTGCAATTTAAAAGTTTGAGTGGCCCTGCAGCTGTTGGACTGGCGTGAAGCTTACCATCAGGCGCATGACCTGTTCGTCCCGTCACTTGATATTATAAAAAAAAATGCGAAATGGAAAATAATCACCGACTGTTACGATACTATTCGTGGAAATCGAGCCGTTATTTATTTCAGGCATACAGCTTTAGTCTCTGTCAGATGCATTGCCGCAGCAGGATGGCCGTCATGTTTTGCGGATGCAGACCCTACTTCCACGTAAAAGGAGGTACCTAACTTACGATCATCAAGTATATAACATTCCTTTATTTTTTTCCATCCTTTATGATATAACCAGAAATAGAGACGAAATGTCATCTAATTTGTTTGAGAACTATTCTGCTCTCAAAATCCATAGTCTAAGATTCTGCCATATCATTACTGTGATAGTTGTCACGTGCTTCGATTGGCCAGCCCGAATCCGAAACCATTGACGGGTTCGCCAATTGTTTCACTTCAAAATAATGGACGAAAATTGCATAATTATATATTTAATATTTATTTCCGATGAAATTTGATTCCGTTTGTTTTGTAATTAGATGTTTTGCTGTTTTTTCCTCACACCACCAAATGAAACAGCACGCCATTGTTAGAGATATTCTCTTTATTACAATAAATACAGAATATGCTTGGAATGTGCGGAGACGTACACACAGGTCAGTTGTTGGCGCTTCTATATTCAGTGCAAACGAGAGTTGATGTTTGTAAAGGCCCATTTAGATGGAGAGAGTTTCTCGTCTCGAAGATGCGATTATCGAAAGAATATAAAAAAACTTTCCTCGTCTAAACATTCGCGATTATCGACCGTCCACGTGAGCGATAATCTCCTCGCCTTTCAATATTGAACGTCTCCGTGTAAACAGAACTCGAAAGCAAAAATCGTATTTCGAGTTTCTGTGCCAGCCGTTTCTACCACGAGTGCAGTGCGCGAGGCTGTTTTGATTATCACTGCTTTTCTAAGACAAGAATTAATGGAACGAGGGCGAAAAAAAAAAATTCATATAACGGTGAGTGAGTGAGTGCCTCTGTGGTCGAATATAGCGTGGGCAATATAGTATTTAGGGTGCTCTCGTAACGAATATGGCACTCCTTTCTAAATCCAGGATGAAAAGTCGTGCCCGCACTTTTCAAATAATGGCAAGTTGGATATCGTTTTTGAGGTATTTGGGGGTGCTCATTACGAACATAGCATTTATTTCTAAATCCAAAATGGCAGACACGACTTTTCAAGTAAATGTACTTTTCAATAAACACTCCTCACTAACTCCCCACTCACTAACTCCCCACTCACTCACTTCCCACTCCCTACTCACTCACCACTCACTCACTCACTCACTCACTCACTCACTCACTCACCACTCACTCATTCACTCACCACTCACTCACTCACTCACTCACCACTCACACACTCACTCACTCACCACTCACACACTCACTCACTCACTATTCACTAACCACTCACTCACTCACTCACAACTCACTCACTCGCTCATTCACCACTCACTCACTCACTCCTCACTCACTCACCACTCACTCACTCACCACTCGACCACTCACCACTCGATCACTCACCACTTACTCACTCACTCACACACTCACTCACTCACTCACTCACCCATTCACTCACCACACACACACACTCGCTCATTCACCACTCACTCACTCGCCCACTCACTCACTCACTCACTCACTCACTCACTCACTCACTCACTCACTCAC